TCTCTGTGTCTCCGTGTCTCCAACATGTCTCCTACATGTCTCCAACGTGTCTCCGTGTCTCCAACATGTCTCCTACATGTCTCCTACATGTCTCTGGTTTAACCTCCTCAAAGACGAACACAGATGTGTTGCGGTGCGTTCGCTGACCCAAAATAAATGTTGTATTTCTGAGTGTCGGGCAGGCTGAGGGACGATCAGCTGCTGATGTCTTGGTGTTCCTGGCCTCAGGTAAAGCTTTCCTGGATTAACGGACTCACCTGTCCGGTCCCAGGTGTTTGTCTTTGAAACTAGAACTTCCTGTCTGTCACGAGACGAGCTCAGATCCTTAAGTGTGTGTGTGTGTGTGTGTGTGTGTGTGTGTGTCACCCAGGTTCTAAGTTCTGTGTTTATCCTCAGTTTGATGTTTGTGCTTCTGGTTCATTGTTTGATTGATTGATTGATTGATTAGTTCTACACACCAGTTTAGATTTCTGACACTCAGTTCTGTCTCCTGCTGGGTGGAGCTGGTTCCTGGGAGGGTTCTGTTGGTTCTGTTGGACAGTTCCTTTATGAGATCAGTGAGGTGACTCACTTTAGTTTTTGTCTTGATCTCAAACCTTCATGAAACCTGACTTGCTGTTTGTTCTTAATGATCCCATTAATTAATGATCCCATTAATTAATGATCCCATTAGTGATGAATAAATGAACCAATCAGCAGCTTTGATTGTTGATGACCTGAGCAGTTTAAACATCACTTCCTGTTCTCTCTGCTCTCAGTGATTACTTATTCAAGCTGCTGCTGATCGGAGACTCCGGCGTGGGGAAGTCCTGCCTCCTCCTTCGCTTCGCAGTAAGTCCCACTGAAGCTCGGTCCAAAGCCCACAAGAACCCAGAACCTTCTTAAGGTGGTGGGATCAAGAACAGTGTGTTCTGCTCAAAGTGAAGGGCAGGAATCACAGGTACACCATTAACCACGCCCACTTCAGAGCTCTGACCAATCACAGAGCTTCTGTCTGACACCAGAGGAGTTCGCGGTTCTTGTGGGGGTGGAGCTACCTTTAGGGTCTGAGTTCTGACAACTGATTGGTTGCAGGTGAGACTCACCTGTCGTGTGTTTGACCTCAGGACGACACGTACACAGAGAGCTACATCAGCACCATCGGCGTGGACTTCAAGATCAGAACCATCGAGCTGGACGGGAAGACCATCAAACTGCAGATTGTACGTTGGCGGGGCTATTGTCTGTGGGCGGGGCTTGTGTGGTTAGTGTGGTGACAGCTTGTGTTGTGTTGTCAGTGGGACACGGCCGGTCAGGAGAGGTTCAGGACCATCACATCCAGTTACTACAGAGGAGCTCACGGCATCATAGTGGTTTATGATGTGACGGACCAGGTCAGTGACCTCTGACCTCTGTATACCACCTCCCACCAGGGGGCGGAGCTACAATCTGTTTTAAAGTTAGAAATACATTTGATTAATGGGAGCTGCGCTGCTGTTTGTCCCTGAGGAGCTTCTGTAGTTCTTTGAACTTCCTGTTTGGTTCCTCCTCAGGAGTCCTTCAACAACGTGAAGCAGTGGCTGCAGGAGATCGACCGCTACGCCAGCGAGAACGTCAACAAGCTGCTCGTAGGCAACAAGTGTGACCTGACCACCAAGAAGGTGGTGGACTACACCACGGCCAAGGTACCAGGACCCAGACCCTGTGAGACCCTGGACTTTAGGTCCAAGATCCTGTGAGACTCTGGACTTTAGGTCCAGACCCTGTGAGACTCTGGACTTTAGGTCCAGACCCTGTGAGACTCTGGACATTAGCTCCAAGACTCTTAGAGTCCCAGGACTTTAGGTCCAGACCCTGTGAGACCCTGGACTTTAGGTCCAAGACCCTGTGAGACTCTGGACTTTAGGTCCAAGACTCTTAGAGTCCCAGGACTTTAGGTCCAGACCATGTGAGACTCTGGACTTTAGGTCCAAGACCCTGTGAGACCCTGGACTTTAGGTCCAAGACTCAAGAGTCCCAGGACTTTAGGTCCAAGACTCTTAAGAGTCCCAGGACTTTAGGTCCAGGAGTCTGATGGAACTCTTAAGGAACATATAATCAGTTAATAAGCTTAAGTGCAGCAGGTAAGATAGTGCCTGTTTAGCTAACATGCAGCAGGTAAGATAGTGCCTGTTTAGCTGATGTGCAGCAGGTAAGATAGTGCCTGTTTAGCTGATGTGCAGCAGGTAAGATAGTGCCTGTTTAGCTAACATGCAGCAGGTAAGATAGTGCCTGTTTAGCTGA